AATTATATTAAAGATAATATCTACATTAATTATAGAGAAGGGGGTCCACTTTGAAACAACATATATAGTTACTCCCATAAAGTTTTTGTAGTCAGTAACCGTCAGCTATGGAATTCTTCCTCTTTCATCTGAAAACTTTATGGCAGGGCAAACTTCTAGAAGATTCCTGATATTTAAAGATTTGTTTACAGCTGCTTCATAATGAGGAGCCCTGGTGGCATAATGGTTAAGCGCTTGGCTGTTAACCAAAAGGTTTGTGGTTCAAACCTATCCAGTGGGTCCACAGCAGAAAGACCTGGCAGTGTGTTCCAGTAAAGATTACAACCTAGAAAACCCTATGGGAATTCTGAGACCAGAAGAACTAAATGGTGCCAGGCTACCACCACTGAACATTCTGACCGGGGACACAACAGAAGGTCTCAGTTAGAATGGGAGAAAAATGTACAACAAAAGTCAAATTCATAAAAAAGACCAGACTTACTGGACTGATAGAGACTAGAGGAACCCCTGAGACTATCACTCAAAGATACCGTTTTAACCTGGAACTGAAGCCACTCCCAGAGGTCACCTTTCAGCCAAATAAATAGATTGGCCTAAAAAATAAACAATAACACCCTTGAGGAATGTGCTCCTTTAAACAACTATATGAGGCCAAATGGTCAACATTTACCCAAAAGCAAAGATGAGCTGGCAAGGAGGGGCAGAGAAACTGGATGGATAGAAACGGGGCAGGTGGAGTGGAAGTGGTTAGAGTTCTGACACATTGCGGGGATAGTAACCAATGTCACGGAACAATTTGAGTATGAATTGTTGTATAGGAATCTAACTTGCTGTGTAAACTTTCACCTAAAACACACACACACAAAATTAAAAACAACAACAACCCTATGGGACAGTTCTACTCTGTCACATGGGGTCAATATGAGCCTAATCAACTCAACACCATCTAACAACAACAACAGCTCCATAAGGAAGCCTCTTACTTTGGGACAATTTCCCATCATTTAAATTATACTCGTCCTTTGCCTATCTAGAAATTTTACAAAACAACTTACAGCTACATCTCCTGCCCTCAAGAGAATACAAGAAAAGGGTTCAGCAAGGGAGGCAATTTCATATATTATCAATATATACATACTGAGACAAACATGGTACGTAGCTAATTCCTCATCTGTTGCTGTTAGGTGCCATCAAGTGGGTTCCGACTCACATCGACCCTATGTACAACAGAATGAAACGCTACCTGGTTCTGCATCATCCTCCCAATCGTTGCTATGTTTGAGCCCATTGTTGAAGCCACTGTGTCAATCCATCTCATTGAGGGTCTTCCTCTTTTTTGCTGACCCTTTCTTTACTAAGCATAATGTCCTTCTCCAGGGATTGGGCCTTCCTGATAACATGTCAAAAGTACTTGAGATGAAGTTTTGACATTCTCACTTCTAAGGAGCATTCTGGCTGTACTTCTTCTAAGACAGATTTCGTCATTCTTCTGGCAGCCCATGGTATATTCAGTATACTTCGCCAACACCCTAATTCAAATGCATCAGTTTTTCTTCGGTCTTCCTTATTCATTATCCAGCTTTGGTATGCATATGAGATGACTGAAAATACCATAGCTTGGGTCAGGTGTACCTTAGTCCTCAAGGTCACATCTTTGCTTTAGACACTTTAAAGAGGTCTTTGGCAGCAGATTTGCCCAGTGCAATATGTCCTTTGATTTCTTGACTGATACTTCCATGGGCATTGATTGTGTATCCAAGTAAAATTAAATCCTTTACAACTTCAATATTTTCTCTGTTTATCATGATGTTGTTTATTGGTCCAGCTGTATTTTTGTTTTCTTTATGTTGAAGTGTAATCCATAGTGAAGGCTGTAGTCTTTGATCCTTATCAGTAAGTGCTTTAAGTCCTCGTCAATTTCAGCAAGCGAGGTTGAGTCATCTGCATATCACAGGTTGTTAATGAGTCTTCCTCCAATTCTGATGCCCCATTCTTCTTCATATAGTCTAGCTTCTTGGATTATTTGCTCAGAATACAGATTGAATAAGTATGGTGAAAGGATACAACCCTGACACACACTTTTCCTGATTTTAAGCCATACGGTATCCCCTTTTTCTGTTTGAACGACTGCTTCTTGGTCTATGTACAGGTTCCTCATGAGCACAATTAAGTGTTCTAGAATTCCCATTCTTCACAATGTTATCCAGAATTTGTTATGATCCCCACAGTCGAATGCTTTTGAATAGTTAGTAAAACACAAGAAAACATCTTTCTGGTATTCTGTGCTTTCAGCAATGATCTGACATCAGCAATCATGTCCCTTATTCCATGTCCTCTTCTGAATCCGTCTTGAATTTCTGGCAGTTCCCTGTCGATGTACTGCTGCAACGGCTTTTGAATGATTTCCAGCATAATTTTACTTGTGTATAATATTGATGATATTGTTCAATAATTTTCACATTCTTTTGGATCACCTTTCTTTGGAATGGGCACAAATACGGATCTCGTCCAGTCGGTTGACCAGGTAACTGTCTTCCAAATTTCTTGGCATAGAAAAGTGAGTGTTTCCAGCATTGCATCGTTTGTTGAAACATCTCAATTGGTATTCCGTCAATTCCTGGAGCCTTATAGTGCGCCAATTCCTTCACGCAGCTTGGACTTCTTCCTTTAATACCACTGGTTCTTGATCATGGGCTATCTCCTGAAATTGTTCAACGTCGAGTAATTCTTTTTGGTACAGTTTATTTCTTCCATCTTCTTTTGATGCTTCCTGTGTCATTGAATGTTTTGCCCATAAAATCCTTCAATATTGCAACTTGAGGCTTGAATTTTTTCTTCAGTTCTTTCAGCTTGAGAAATGCTGAACATGTTCTTCCCTTTTGGTTTTCTAACTCCAGGGTTTTCCAGATTTCATTATAATACTTCACTCTGTCTTCTTGAGCCACCCTTTGAAATCTTCTGTTCAGCTCTTTGACTTTATCATTTCTTCCATTTGCTTTAGCTACTCTATGTTCCCCGTCTAGGAACTCAGAATTGTTTTTAACAAGCACATCTGAATATCAACATCACACATCCATAAAGGAATAAAGTAATCAAATACAGGTGGATTTCCCTTAATTTGAAATGTTCCAGAGTGCTATTTTAGACTATTATTTCACCTATGTATCTGGGAGAGAGTGTGTGTGTTTTGGCTTTGTGGTAGCAGCATTATGTTAAATTTTACATCTCTTTCTTTAGTGAAATGACTTTTGTTCTCCCTTGGGAATGCAAAAAGATAGCCACAGCCAACTGGAGAGAAGCAGCTGCTGCAACACTATGGCTGTACTGCCCATGGAAGAAGTATAAATAACAATTTTAGCAGCTAGTGATTCTGAAATTACCCTTAAATATGCCATTATAAAAATGTTCTCAAAAATACATTTTGCAAATAATATGTCACAAGAGCTTTTATCAAGGGTGTTTTCTACTCATATTCAAGTCATTTAATAGTATAGTGAGTCTAATGTAGGTACTATGCCTAAATGTAATGGATTATATGTAAATGACGAAAACTCAGTCTCACGACTAGATAAATTCTGTCAGCAACACCAGCTGTCAGATATCCAGGCTTTCATTTCATGGACGCTTCTGCCATAGACACTGGCAAATGTGGGGTCTCTGTCAGTCTTATGAATGCCCATTCATTCATTCACTCGGCAAATATCGGATCTGTGTTGGTCTTATAAATGTCCTTTTAGTCATTCAATCAACTAATTTTATTGCTTACATACCAGGTGTCAGGTACAGTGCTGAGGCCTGGGAATACAGCAGTGAACACACAAGGCAATGGAAGTACAAACACCTTTTCTACCATATTAATATTTTTTAATTCATTCATTCAACATGTATCTTCATACTGAGTACCAACTATGTGTTAAGTGCCATGCTAGCCATTGGCTATATACCTGTAAATGAAACAAACACCCCCTGATTTTGATGTGGCAGCTGTCTTTTGTCTAGCCATATAATGCATTGTCTTCATCATACCCCTTCCCCCAAGTTTGGATCTCGAATTAGAAATGAGAAGAAAATGGTTAGTGGGCATCATGGATTGAATTGTGTCCCCCAAAAATATCTGTCAACTTGGCTGAGTCATGATTCCTAGTATTGTATGATTGTGTACCATTTTGTAATATGTGATTTCCTTATGTGTTGTAAACTCTATCACTATGATGTAATAAGACAGATTAGTGGCAGTTAT